TAGAGAATATTGAGATTCATCCAAATTAATTTGTATATTATCAATGTATCGAAGATACAGTATATACAAAAGCATTCTTTCAATAGTCCTTGCATACGTCATAATAATTGTTTGCTAAATATTGATAATAAAATAGCTTTATATTCATAAGTTAGCAAAAGCAAACGATGTTCGATAAAAATTAAAGATTTAAGTTTGAGAGTATAACTAACAATTTCTCTATGTTAGAACTAAAAGAAAAAAAACTGAAATTTCTTTCACATCACCAATTGTGTTAACTAAAATATTCTGTTACTTCTTTAATTAAGATATTTTTTTTATAATTACTTTCATAATCTTTCCAATAATTATGTAATTAATTATAATCAATCAGAATCTCTACTATAATGTTAATTTTCTTATCTGTAAATAGTAATTCTGTATATATACTTTAGTTATAACAACACAAAAAGTATTTAAAAAATAAAGTTTATATTTTTTAAAAAAAAATCTTTATGGTATCAAAATCAAAATAAGGTTGTTTTAAGCTTCTAATTTCAAGATTTTTTCCAAACCCTAAAATAATATAATAAGTTAAGTTGGTACTCATATATTAAGATCTACTCTCACCACCACCCAACCGAAGTCATGACCTCATTGTCGGCCTACTCCTCCAACTTTGGCGACTATTCCCAAAGCGTGTAAACCACACGCGTTGCTAGCAACAGAAGTACATGAGACCCACGCGCTGTTGGAAAAACCATATCCGGCCCAAATCGGGTTGCGCCACCGTTAGAAACTCCCAATCGAAATGGCTTTATCCTTGATGTGCGCAATTCGACTCAAATCACGCCTCTTCAAATCCAGCCTTCACGTAGTTGTTGGGTGTTCTGTGAATCTATCGATCGGAGCATTTTGCTGCTCGTTCTAACCCTTCCGCGCATGTAGACATCTCTATCTGGCCCTTCCACGTGCCGAACCGTTCCAATTTGGTCCGTCCGCACATTGAACCAAGCCACCTTCTACTGCCGTTTCCTCGCAGGACCGGGCTGTTTCTGATCACCATCTCTGGGCTCATAACATATTTTTCTTTCTGGTCTAATCTTACTATTTCCAACTCGACTGGTGCTGATTAGAAGGTATGTTCTTTCCCTACAAGAATTAGTTATTAGGTATTGTTCTTTCCTTATTTCTACAAAATTTAAAATGACAGAAGTAAAAAAATTAATTCTTCCTAATTCAGATAATCCCTCACTAGAAATCAAGGTTGGAAAACTTGACGGAGCTAATTGATGCAAAACCTATGATCAACTAACGTGATCAAAATCCTGCATATAACATCAGTATTCAGAATCATAAAACCCTAAATAAATCCTCCTACTTAACCCAATAACTCACCTAAAATTATGGACTAAAATAATTAGAATAGTTCGAATTAATTAAAAAATGTCACAAATATGATAAGTTAGAAATCAATTCGAAAAAAATTGATAAAACCTCATAAGGACTTATTTTGATAATTTGAATCAATTCTCACTCGACAAGAAGGTTTACAAAAACCAAATTAGTTGAAAACTAAAACTTTATAATTTTTATTCTTCTCAAACTTAAATGAATATAATTGTGAATTGATGGTTTATTTATAGTGTAAGACATATGAATAATAAAGAAAATAATCTCCTAAATTTATTGCAAAATTATATAAAAAAATAAATTTATAATAGAATAGGAAACTTCTAACAATTAAAATGATTGTTTTCTAAATATGACAAATATGATCTCCCTATGAGAAAATTTTTTTAAATGGAGAATAGCTTAATTAATTGTGGAGATATCTTCTTTTAAAGGTTGGAGATTTAATTTGCTCTTTTCTTGAAAGATTGATTGATTTATAAAGATATTGTAATTTAAAGAAAATCTCTTAATTTAATGAAAATCTTTGAATTCCTTAAGAAAGTGAATTCATCTATGATCTTGTGATAAATGTTTAAAATCCTTTCATGAATTCTCTTAATTTTCTCCATATATGAATATACCTTTTTAGGAAGATATGATCCTTGGTTTGCAACTTTGGAAAGATGTGATTTTAATTCTCTCTTGATGAATTTTCAAAATTCTTTGATCTCAGGGAGATATCGGATATTGGTTAGAAAACTCATTATCTCTCACATACCATATTTGATATAATATATGCAGTTAGCCTAATGAACCTAATGAGTCAATCATGCATGACCCTCACGAACCTCATTTACATGCCGTTTTTTACATATTACGATACTTAAAATTTGCACCAAGAAAAAGTCTGTTCTTCTCCAAAAAAGTCACATTAAGATAGAAGTATTTATAAATGCCAATAGAACTGGATTTTCAGATAATAGAAGGTCAACTACCAATTATTGTACACTCGTAGGAGACAACTTGGTTACACCGAAAAGAAAGAAGCAAAGTATAATTTATTACTCTAGTGCTGAAGCAGAATATAAAGCAATAGTTCAAGGGGTATGAATCATTATGGTTACAAAATATAATGCAAGAATTAAAATTGTTCAAAGATGAGAGTCTATCCTTATTTTATGACAATAAAGCAGTAATTAGCATAGTCCATAATTCAATTTAACATGATCGAACAAAGTACATTTAGATTAATCGATACTTCATAAAAGAGAAAGTAGTCGATGCCTTCTTATGCCTATATTATGTGTCTTCTAATGAATAGGTGGTAAATACCTTCACTAAGGACTTTACAACAAACCCTTTAATAACTTGGTATACAAGTTGGACGTGTGCAAGTTTGATATATGTGATATCATTGTACCAACTTGAAGGGGAGTGAATTATAATATTCTACTGCTCTCGTAATATTTTCCATAATTATGTAATTAATTAGAACCAACTAAAATTCCTACTGTAATGTTAATTTTTTTATCTGTATATAAGAATTTTATATATATATGTCAGTTGTAACAACACAAAAATTATTAGAAAATGAAATTAATATTTTTTCTCCAAAAATTTTCAAGTTGAAGCACAAGAAATATTTGCTCAAGTTGAAGTGGTTTGTATTCATTCTAATCATACATAGAGCAAATCATGCTTTCAACAATCTTGTTCTACCCCATGCTACTACTAAACTGACCTAAGTCCATGATAATAGTAGTAAACAAATTTTGTTGGACGATTTCATTTACCTCATTTGCGTTTATGATCCTAGTAGATGTAGAAATTTTAATTAACTTTCAATTTTTCTACCTAGAATATTAAAAGTCTAAGATCTTTAAAAATTTGAAGAGTATGTTCAAGTATTTCTTTCATTGATAGTCTGCAACTAAAAACTTGAAGTGAAAATTTCGCCAGATGGAGTAGAATAATTCATAATAAAATTTTAATTTAAACAAATTTCCCACCAGGAATATTTTTTATATAATATTTTTTTACATTTCTGAGTTATTTAGTTTATTCAGGCATTATAATACTTAAGTTTTCTTTTACATAAATTTTAAAATTGAAGACGTTAGAATCTAAAGGGCTTCCTGTTTTTCTTATTAGTTGTAATTAATGCATTTATAAAAACTAATAACTACTAACAAATTTAAATAGATTATGACGAATTAAGACTTCTTCCTTAAGATTTTATTCCATGTTACCTCTGTCTGCATTCATATTTTTAATCATTGTTCTATTTGAGCACTCTCATTCAATCACTTTTTCCTATATTTTTCACCTTGCTCTCTAAATTTATCTAATCTATCTTTACTATTTTATTTCTCATTTAAATTTTCTCTATTCCTAAACATCTAAAGCACAAGTCAGCTCAATCACTAGTTGTCTTGCATCAATAGGTCCCTCTTATATGGTTAATTGTCATATTCATATTTATTTTTTCTTAACCTATAAATACCTATCCGTATTTTCTTTTAGAGTTAAAAAGACAATAATAATTTCGACAACTATCAACACCGAAAGTCGAAATAATCATTCTGAACTGAAAGGGGGTAGAAAATGAGCATTTTCAGGCTTTCTAAGGGAAGAAAGAAGGCCAAAGCAGTTATTACCCCTTCAGTTCACCGGAAAAATTGGAAAAGAGCACCAAAAGGGTTTTTGATGGGACAGAAACTCCTTTCTATTTGATTTAGTGACTTTTCAACACGTATGCTTCAAAGACATGGTAGGTTTTAAATGCTATACATACCCGTAACACTACATAACAAGGTCTGTTTAAAAGTTTAACCGAAAAAAGAGCAACTCTGCAAACAATTGGTGTGTAATAACAATTACATAGCGGAAAAAAACTTTCTACAATCTACAGTCTTATAAGTACCCCTCGATCTAGATCATGATACCATATAAATGTATGCGTTACTTGAGAAGACAACCGGAAACTAATTAGACGCATAGGGGTCTTGAATGAGGCACCTGTTATCTGCACATTAGTATAAACATTCAAGCAACCAACATACTTTTAATCCTTTGGATTTCAGTCCATAATCTTTGATATTTCCAACTTAATGAATTATTACGACATTAACATAAGAAATTGCATATTTCTCATAAATAATTCAATGCAATCACAACTTCTTTATCCTGATTGATTAGTGGAGAGTGCAATCCTTACCTCAATAAGAGACCTCTCATATGAATCAAATGAAGATAAAGCTCTTTGACCCCTTTCAGTTGAAAGGATCCCCTAAATAAGAGAAGAGGAGGAAGAAGATTATTCTTTTGCCAGAAAAAAGCTTAAACATAACAAAAACATAATCCAGAACTAGAATTACATAGAAAGTAGACCAGAACAAGATACGCAAGTCTCAAGCAGGGAATGATTAATTTTCCACAAATATTTCCTCAACCTTTCTTCTTCCATCTTGTTAGGTTGTTTTAAGACCTCGGTCCAGCGTTTTCATTCTATTAGGATAATCTGTATTCCCCTCTTCCCCCAAATTTTTTTCCTCTCTATGCCACTCAAGGGAATTGAAAAAAAAAAAGCTAAGCTGCTCTGGAAGATTCTTTTGCTAGTTTATGGTGCTGCAGTTGAAGCTCAATGCTAGAGTTTTTAAGGAGTGTTATTTTGCCCCATTTTTCATATGGGATATATTGGTTCTGTTTGCTCGGTTGTGAGCAAAGGCTCGAGCTATTTAGAATATTTAATTTGCGAAGGGATTGAGTGCTGTTGCTTTTGTTTTTATGCTGTTTTCCTTTCTTTCCTCCTTTTGGATGGCTTAGAAGGATTTCTTTTTCATAAGAAAAAAATCCATGGCACTGTTATAGCCTGTTTGGTTCCTTTTCTACTTAATTCCTAATTAATTCTTTGGTATAACTTTATGCTAGCCTGCGGCCATGATTTTTTGTCTTCTGAGTTACTTCCTTACCCAATTCCTTATGATGGGTGTAAAACAAAAAATAAAAACAAGTTATAGTTATGTATATGAAGGCTAATATGAAATTAGAACTGTTAATAAGTTAGGAAGAGAACGAGTAATTAACCAAATGGGATGTTTGAGTTCATGCTTTGAGCGCATATCTTAATTTCAAGCATTCAAATGTTAGTCAGCAACAAGATTGAATCACACATCTCCCTTTCAAATCTATCATCATATATGTTTGGGACCTTATGACATAACATGAAAAACACATATAATGATTCGTAAACAGATAAATTCCAGTAAGCAGTAGTAAACTGAGTCTACTTTATATGCAGATTGATAAGAATCAAGGTTCTTAAACATCACCTAAAGGAAAAGTCAAAGAATCAAATATGGACTCACTCGAAGTGTTTGCGATGTTACATCAATTACTTTAACAGAGTCATCCATAAGATATTTCTTCAAAAGTTTCAAAAGAGCAGTCAAAAGTTCATCAGCTATGCTAGTATTCATAGAAACTTTCATTTCAGCACCGATGCTGCAATTAATGGATCGACAGACATAGATGTGACCGGCCTCTCCAGAAAGATGGAACACTACACTGTGTGGATCACCAATGCCAACCTGTAATTGAGACCAATCGTAGAAAATGGTTGTAGACTTTATGTGTGTATATATATATATATATATATGCATAACCTTAGACAACAATAGGCTAAAAGACGGAGAACAATACCCTAGATATGAAATCGGACACCAACGCTCTAACACTTTTTGCATCATTTGACGCACACATGCAGACAAGGGTCCAAACTGCGTTTACAATTTCATTGTCAGAATGCCAATTTGCATCTCCTTGAACATCTTCTATGCTATTTTCCCTCTGGAAAGTTTTTTCTGTGAGCAACTTCTTGTGCAGCGCTTGGAGGCTACAGGGATATTTCAAGTCATAACAGCTAGTAACTATTTCATTTTCATATCTCATAAACAAATTAATTAAAGGGGGGCAGAGGGCGGATTTGATTTGGTAACTCAATATATTTTGTAGTACCAATATCTCATGGTATGTGGGCTTGCTGCATACAATGAATACCTTTGTTTCCTTGTTCAACATATTGACAACTATAAAAACTAGAAACTGATTTTAGGGTGCAACTATAAGTTACCATCATCATTTTCTTCTCTTGACCTTCTCATTTAAGAGAAGATATCTAACTTATAAAGCAAAGAGGAAAAGAAAGGAGGGAAGGGAAATGAATTTATGTCCTGATCCATTGTCCTGAAATAATTTTCCTCTTATTTATAGCAGTAAGGTTTATAAGGAGTATGTTGTCGTTTCATATGAGTTTTTAGTATAGCATGGAATTCTAGAACAGCAAGCAACGTTTATTAGATAACAGTCCACATTGACATGCAGCAGGTGGCATCAAATGGTGATTGATACTTGACAGAATGGTGAACCCCATCCTCGATGCTAACTCGTTGACATTTGTTGCCCAATTGCAAGTGAACATAATTTGATTATTGTTTCTCTTTCATTCATTATGATGATCACATCTCCTGAAATCTCCAGTTCTTTTTCATAAGGAGCCCCAATGATCCTGAGTACTAGGTTCATTTATAAGCAACTTAGGGTGTGTGACTAGGTTTATTAAAAAGCAATGCAGACTAAATTTGGCAACTATGTTTGAGACTTATGGATCAACACTTTTGGGCATTGCTCTGATATGTGACAGATTCTACTAGTTCTAAAACAAGCTTATGAATTGTATATTGTACAATGTTTTCAAAGTTTTACAAACAATAAGCTCATAGAATTCAGAAAGCGACAGCACCTCCATAGAAATAGTCTTGGTGGAAGGTAGCAAGATCTCTTCACAAACTGAAAAGATAAGGAGAAAAGAGGAAAATTTTCAAAAATTAACTAACATTCTCAGGAAAAAATTAAAATTTAAACAAAATTGAAATTATCCTAAAAATGAAAGTACACAACTTAAAATTGAATTCAGTCTACCTTCAATAGGTGGTCTCTTGGAGAGTATGCTCTGCATAGTTCATGATGGAAATTACGAATTCTATCAAAAACACCTATTTCAGGAAACGGTTCTAGTTCCTGCAAAAGAGAAAATAGATATAACTAAAAAGGAAGAACCGAATAAGATTTTTTTTATTTATCGAAATAAATAGAATTCAATTCCCTAGGCCTTAAAGGTATTACAAAGAATAAAATAAACTCATATAACACATATCTAACTCATTAAGTATTCACATTATCAACAAAGTCAGATTTGCACAGACACTTAGAAATGCTATAAACCCTAAATTCAATTTCAAACATCCAGTTATGCTAAATACTTTTTTATTGTACACCAAGTTGATGGAACATACTCTGACGTAATCATAAAGAGATGGATCAGAACCCAGAGTCAGCTGTTGGAGCAATGATAAAACTTGAGAGGATCCAGAGCCTGAAGTTTCCCAATTAGCTTCAGGAGGAATGCAACATGCCACCAACTTTGATACCAAAAACTATGAGCCAACGGACAACAAAAGCATTAAGAACTAAAGTCAAAGGTCACTATTACTAATGCTTCAAAGCTATGGTAAAATACCTGCAACTGTTCACCTAGCACAGTGATAACTTCTTTCGATGAATTGCTTTGCAAAGTTTTCAGCAATGTGGAAATTATACGACAACATTGTTCTCGTAAACGACGAGAACCAACAAATTGCCCAATCAAATTGAAAAGATAACTGCAGCAACTCAAAGAAACATTTATCAACCAAATGAGAAAGTGCAGAATCACAATCATATGAGATGAATACAAACAAAGAATGCACTCGCTATGCAACCTGGCTCAAAGTAGGTTCTTGAATAACTAAACAAATGATTGACTAAAATAGAGAACCAGCTCCCATATCTTATTATCTTTATGTTATTATAGTCCTACATCTTTCTCTAAAATGTAGAAAGATTCTTAATTTTCTTGGAACTGTCACTTTTTTCACAATCATTAAGATAGAAAGACCTTTGATTAACCTTCTAACTCACCATCTTGGTAGAATTTTATCTTGTGACTAGACCTATTAACCTTCTTTAAACCTTATGACTTGCAAATCTTTTGTTAATATTTCCGGTAAAAATACAATGACTAAGCTGTAGTTTCAGAGAACTCCTGGATGGATGAGTTAGGTTTCCTCAAAGGTTAGAAGTTCAAATCAAACTCTTTCCTCGTATTTATGTAATATGTCACTAGAATTCAGAGACAAACAGCCATTTGTTCTTACATTGTCAAACAGGCTGGAGCTTATGGTCTCGGTCTTTTCCTATCTTGGAAAAAAATGGGTAATTCCTTCAACCTTGGAAGACTTCTTTGAGGGGTTGCGTAGCAAGGAAGGACCTCAAAGTTACAATGATAATGTACTTCTAAAAAATAGTTACTTCTAAAATAGGTACTTCACAATGTACTTTTTTACAAGTTTAATTTTCTTATTCATAGTTTCCTCTTCTTCACATAGGGATGCCTGTAATTACATTTCTCTTTTTAATACATAGTAAAGTTATAATATCTTAATATTGTGAAAATTCCACAATCTTCTGTCTTAATAATGGAAATTAATCTTTCAAAAGATACAAAATATTGGTTAAAATATCCCTCAATCATCCATCTTAATATTAGGAAAGAAATTCGATTCAATACGATTTACTTTAATTAGCTTCCTATCTTTTCAAATTGTAAAAGTTATATATACACATTAATACGTTTCTTCTTAATATACCCATTAACATGGTGTCTCAGCCGTTGGCCTTTTTTTAATTTCTCTCAACCTTCATTGCTGTCTATGCTCTGCTATTTTATTAATAAAAGAAACCACCAAATTTCACAGCCTCATCTCCCTAAAGTTGCTCTAACATCCATTCTAGTGGACATTTGCACTCTTTGCTTGTACATAACACCAATGCTGGCCCCTATTATCTCCTCTGCTCTCCTAGACTTTTTCTTCGTGGCCCCCATCATCACATAACTGGTGCCAGCCTTCATTGTTACTTCCTCACTGAACTTGAATTCTCTATCCACAGCCTCCATAAGCAAAGATCCTTAGTAGACCCTCTTTGTTACCTAATGCTTGCAAAAAGAAACTTGACACACCATTGTAGAGAAAAAATATATCCAAATTGAAAAAGATGAAGTTGTCTTTCAACATTGTTGGTCAGACCAAGATAATCCTCATCATTTTACAAGTAGGAGAGCTTCGAAATTTTTGAACAACATATAAACTAAGGTGAAGAATTATCATAAGTGGTTCCAATTTATTTGTATATATTTAAAGAGGAAAGGAAAACTCAATCATCTTGCATGACGAGATGAAAGAAGAAAATCTAAAACTTAATACATTGGATGAATGATCATGTCATAGTTATGGAATTCAATTGATCTGAGATCAATGACCTTACATGTGTTTATCTATGGCTAAAGAGATTTTGGATGTTGTTTGACAGATGTACTTAGAGGCTCGTGATATAGCACAAATCTACAAGATTAAACTCTAAACTAGTATGATGAAACAAGACAGTAAAATTGTCGTTTAACACACAACTCCATTAGAAAGCCTCTTTAACAATGTTATACTGCATGGAGTTTGTGGACAACACCTTTGCAATGAGTTGACTGACTTAGACCACTCCACCCTGTGCACAGTGCTTTCAACTCAAAGATTCAGCGGATTGGAGTGAGGAAGCCAGCAAAAACCTCTTTGGCAAAGGCTCTCCTTGCAAGTTCAGGAACAATTTAGATAGAGAGGAAGTGAAAGAATCTTTGAGGATCATTTTTGCCAATTTTAGATATGTGGGAGTGAATGACCTTTTTGGCTTCCCTCTATACCGAGGCCCATGATTTTCTTATATCAGGCTCCTGTATTACATACAAACTACAGGGCTATAATTTATGAACCCCTACCAGAGTTGCTGATACACTTGTTCTGTGTTTGGTTAAAAGCTTTTCAGCTGTCTTTTCAGCTGTTTTTGGTTATACTTCAAGAGGATGTTTTAATCTTTGAACTTGTAATTTTTTTCACCTTACTAATACTTTTTAAACATAAAAAAATCTATTTTAGGACAGTTTCATTAACAAGAACTTGACCATTATGGATGCATGAAACTGAGTGTATATAGGAGACTTAAAATTTGAAGAATTTTGTAGAAATAAATCAAGTTTATGGTATTTTCCAAAGTCTCAATGCTCAATTTCATTAAGTCAGGATCCAAATTCTGGTTGCAGAACAAGTACAATCTCTAATGAGACTACTTTCACTGTGATATGTATGAATTTACAAAACATAGATGATTTCAAATCACTAATCACAGAAGCTCAGTCCCATTGCACTCTATCAATATCAATATCTGGAGACCTCTGCAGTTCCAAAATTATTTCAGGGGCTAGATGCACTTCCTCTAATTTTTCGAAAAGAATGACTTCTCCATGAATTCTCATGACTAAATTCTCCACAGCAAAATGAAATAGCAAAGAGAAACAATGATCATCTACTAAACACAATCCAAGACTTAAATTTTCACGAGATGTTCTTGAAGTTTATTGAAGAGAAACTATTCTTACAGTGGCTTACATAATCAACTGCCAACCTCCACACATTATGGGGTTTAGAACAACAATGGAGACACATTCTCTATCTCATCCGATATAGAACTAGCAAATAACCTCATCCAGATAGTCTTTGAATGCATTGGCTTCGTCAATGTCTATGGCCAGAGAAGTTAGATCCAAGAGCTATTAATTGTACATTCATTAGTCATATACCAGCTCAAAAGGTGTAAAAGTGTTACCATCTACCAACAAATAAATTCTTCTTCTGTATCAATGTCACTTTTGATAAGAAAAATTCCTACTTCACTGTATCATATCTCCAAGGCAATCTTATCCATTGGCCAACTTTGTGTCATTTGAAAAACTCTCACCTTCACAAAAAACCTTTCTAGTTAGCCTAAACACCATATAAATTCCTAATACTTTATCTGATGAGAAGTTGAACAATGTTATAAGATAAGAGATGCAAACTCTAGAAAAGAACTTAATATAAATTGTTGACCTACTACCTAGAAAGAAGTTTGAAGGATGCAAGTCGATGTTCGTGTCAATTTAAAAAAAGAGAGAAACATTGTATCCTTCCGAGCTTCAAAGATAAATTAAGGCACTATAATGTACAAATTGAAGAAAGCACTATATGAGATAAAGCCATCCCAAAGGGCTTGATTTGAGAGATTTGCCAAAATATTGCTCGCCACCGAATATAAATAGAGTCAAGGAGATCATTTACTCTTTATAAAGCACTATGATTCGAAGGGACTCACGACTCTATTAGTATATATTGATAACATAATTATATTAAGAAACGATGAGAAAGAACTCAATATTTAGTCGAGCAAATTAAGATAAAAGTTGTAGTAGTCCGGATTTTTTCCGAACCAATTTCTCGCCTTTGGTATGGTTAAATTAAGCGGTAATGATAAGAACTTAGTGTAATAACAAACAGAAGAAAAATTGGAGAATTAGGTCAAAAAGAATGCTTTAAAGTAAGAGTTTTTCCTCAAAAAGCATACCAAGTTTTCTCTGCCAAGGAATGTCTCTCGAGACTGAAACAATATCTTTAGAAGTTGAAAAACATCCCGAGAACATGAGAAAAATGTTAGAAGTAAAATTCGGAAGAGAAATGGAAAGTTAGGTTAACTATGAAAACCCTAATTCCCACATAATGGGGGAAAATCATCTTTTGTGATTAAGATGCTTTCTGAATGCAAAATCAAAAGAATTTGAAACTGAAATTTTCAGAAAAAGAAAGTTGTAAACGGAGAAAAATTTTAGAGCAAGAAAAATGGGAGAGAAATGAAGTTCAAAGAAGTTTTCCCCCAAGAAACTCTAAAACAACATAATATGATGAAAACCCTACCCAGTATAAAAATATATGGAATTTGAAACCCAAATTTGACGGACAGCAAGCTAACACATGGACTTTAAGCGAAGAAGAAAATTTGTGAGAAAACAAAGGAAAATCGAGAGAGAGTGGCATACACTTACGATTACTTGTAGTTTCGAGTATCTGGACTTTAAGCGAGTCTTAAGATTTTTTCAAAAAAAAAGTGTTAAAAGTATATTAGTAGGCACCAAGGTGGTACCATCCATGTACAATTTGAGTGGGCCTTAGATAGGTCTAATTGGTTCCAATTGAGCCTAGATTTGATTGATTAGCAGCTGAAAACATGAAAAACATGTGAATCAAGAATTGACCGAGAACTCTTAATTGAGTGTGAAATGACGGCTTGAAGAGAAGAACTGGCTAAAGCATGCGATTTTGAACACTTTGGGCTTCTGTGGGCCTAAGGTGAGCCTAATGGACTCCAATTGAGCTCAAATTTGATTGGTAAACAGCTAAAAGCTAGAGCAAGCAGCGAAGCCAGAGGACATGGAAGAAAAAACTAGAAACAAGCATGAGGTGGCGTGATAAGAGGAAGAGGTGGAAAGAAAAGCATGAGGTGGCAGCATGGTGATTTAAGTCAAATTTTCGGCTTGCCATGCATCCCATCTCTTGCCAACTCATCTTGGCTTCCTTCCCCAACACATAAGAGGATGAGGGAAGGGCAGAAAGCATCCCAACCTGTGAGGAGAAGAAAGAAAGAGAGAAGACAAAGAAGAGAACTTGAAAGGGTGAGGGAAGAGAAAAGTGTGTGATTAGTGACGAAT